ATAGATATAACGCAATTTTAACAGTTGCTATGGAAAAAAACAAAATTAAAAAAAACGACACTATATGAAATTGTGCGCATTTTTTAATGCTTAATGCACTTATCTCACGCCAATCCACCCAAATCATGGAAATCTCTCACTATTAAAAGTGTTAAAAGTAGAGCTACAAAATGAGCCAATGTAGGAGTCTATTTAATAAAATCGAATAAAATTTAAATAAAAAATAAAAATTAGGATATCATACCCAATACAATTATGCTTCTCCTCTTAATATTATAATTTATAATTCAAACATACAAATAATAGCCTCTAAACGTTAAAACAACGTAAAATTAACTCGAAACAACATTAAGAAGAACCGCGCTGCAAATCACCGACAAATAAAAAAAATACTGTAAACCAGTGTAAAAGAAAAGAGAGAAAGAAAAAAAAACGATTCAATTTGCATCGAAATCGAACGATCCTAGTCCCATCTGTTAAAGGGCCGATAAACTATTAACTTAGAGCACGTGAGAATCGAGCGTAAACTCCTTGCGAGGTCAAAACTATCATGAATCACCGCGAGATGGCAGAATGGGTACTCGAAACTTTCCCCCTGAGGGAGTTTTCGCATGGTTTTATATCTTCGGGTCTTCGTTAGAGTCCGATCTTTGTCGAATCTTGATTTAAATGCACTCGTTTAGAGAGTAAAATAGAAACATGATAAAGTTGTCCAAGAAAATAGGTCTTTAAATACGTTAGTTTTGGTAAAAACTTGAATTTTTGATATACTAAGTTACTTTGAAAGATCTAAAAAAGAATAATTATTGTGAAAAATTCATTTTTAAATTCACCCCCGAGAAGAGGTGAGAAAATAAAAGTTCTAGAGCATCTAATTTTACATTAAAATGATCTCTATACTTTTTTTGCTCAAATCAAAATTAACTGAGATAGGGTGGCTAGAATTTAGAGGGCAGCTTTTATTGAATTATTTTCTTAAGTCCTTACCGTCCTTACCCTGAGCTTTGCAGACGATCAGCTCGTGATTGCGCAGGACTCATACGATCTAGAGTTCATGACTAAGAGACTTTATCAAAAATACAACAAATGGGGACTTCAGGTTAGTCTAAAGAAGACCGAATACTTAGAGCTGTCAATTCCAACGCTTGTTTTGAAGTCTTCATTAATGATAACGTCCAGATTCAACAAGTAGACAGATTTAAATACGTGGGTGCTACTATCAACAACGAGGGTTTGGGCAAAGTAGAAATACAAACCCGAATTCAGAAGAGCAAACAAGTTATTGGATGTCTTAACAGTCTCTGGTGGGACAGAAACTTCTCTGCAACAACTAAAAAGAGACTTGGAAGAATATTGGTGGAGTCAGTTCTTTGCTATGGACTCTGAGTGCAGACGCGAAGCGCAAAATCCAAGTTGTTGAAATGGACTACCTTAGAAAAAGTGCAGGTATATCTAGGATGGAAAAAAAGACAAACATCGAGGTCAGGCGTATCATGAATGCATCGGAGGAAACAGAACTAGATCGAATCGAAAAATCCAGCTTAAAATGGTTTGGACATGTTCTGCGTATGGCGGAGAACAGGTGGCCAAACAGTTTTTCAATGGGCTCCCCAGGGCAGAAGAAAGAGAGGTAGACCTAGAAAATCCTGGAACGGAACGGTTACGGAAGCAATGGAAGCTCGTAACCTAGAAGTTGATGACGCCCTAAATCGAGATGTGTGGCGTAGGGTAACGGGAAGGCAGCAATAGGCTGTAGTTGGAAATGAGTATTAAATACTTAAACCAAATCCCGTTTATATGTATAAATCCTTACCGTTACTCTAAAATTAAAAAAAAAAACACTTTATACAGGGTGGCGCCTCTCATACGCCGCGGATGTTCCAAGGAGAACGGTAGTTTATATCGAAATTAAATTTTGGCAGCACATGTAGGTTAACTGAAAGCATTTTACAAAAACATATAGAATTATACAGGGTATCCCAAAAAAATATTAAACATCAAAGTTGTGTTTTTTCTAATGGAACACCTTATATTTTAATTGATTTTTGGATTCTAGGAAAAAATATAAGGGAGTTTTATTAAAGAAGCATATACCTTACTTATTTCACATTTTGTGAAAATGAAGAGTAAATTTTAAATTTCGATAATAGCTACCTAAATTTTAGTTGACCTTGTATAGCCTGATATTTAATTACAGTAACCATTGTATGTTAAACCAAATTGAAATTTGACCCGAAAAGTTATATAGGATGAGACAAAATTACTATGGAACATTAGTCGCTTTTAAAAGCAAGTTACTCCTTTATTTCAAATAGAACACCCAGTATATTTTTCTGGTGTTCAATGCGGAATTTACATATCTTCAAAATATTATTAAGGTTGCCTACGCCTCAGACCAAGATTTTCCGAGATATTTTAATTTTTATGATTTTGCGTCAGTAGATATTTATTATTTGAAAAAATCTAAGGTAGCTGTGTTATATACCTTTCGTTAATTTAACAAAAATTAGATTGTAGAGTAGAATACTCAACGGTAATAAAAAGATACACGTTTAAAACACATTTTAATGAATACAGAATTAAAACTAGATATAAACCTATAATTATGTGACAAAAAAATAGTTAGATAAAATCAAATTCTCAAAATGCTTTCTTTCCTGTTAACTGAATAAAATGATTGTCTTTTCAAAAGGATATTTTCATTTTAAAAGGCATATGTGGAGTTTACTACGTAGAAAAGCAGCTACAATAATTTCTCTCATGTTGTCGACAATAGTTGGTCGAGTTTTGTAAACACTCTCTTTAACATATCCCCATAAAAAAAAACCAGACTAGATAAAATCAGGAGCATTTAACTATTCTATTAATTCTTTCTGATGTAGGATAAGTTTGCATTTTCGGCAAATTTCTGAGAATTTTTTTTGTTTTAACTGATACAAAATGATAAAATGATTTTTAAAAATTATTTTTAGTTGTTAAAGTTGGACTAATTTAACAGCTATGTTGAAGTAATGCCAGACATATCACCAGCCACCTAGATTTTATCAAATATTAAAGATCTTCTCGGATCAAATCATGTAAATGAAAATATCTAGGAAATTCTTTGTTTGAGGGGTAGGCAACATTAATAGTATTTTGAAGAGACATGAATTCTCCATTGAATATCACAATAATATACTGGATGTTCCATCTAAAGTAAAAAAATAACATGCTTTTAAAGGTGACCAATGTCCAATATTAATTTTGTCCCACCCTGTATGTCCCACCCAACTTTTTGAATCAAGTTTTAATTTGATTTAAAATACAATAGTTAATTTAACTACATATTAGGCTATACCGGGTAAATTTCAATTTAGGTAGCTTTTATTGTAATTTAAAAATTGTTCTTTATTTCTACAAAATGCTAAATATGTCTGCTCTATAAATGCTCTATGTGTAAAAACCTTACATTTTTGTCATATACTTCTTTTATAAAACTCACCTTTATTTTTCTCCTAGAATCGAAAATGAATTAATATAAAGAGTGTTCCATTACAAAAAACACAACTTTGATATATAACTTTTTTGAGAACACCCTGTAGAACTTTCTATATTTTTAAAAAGTGCTCTGAATTAATCTACATATGCTCACAAAATTTCATTTCAATACAATCTGTCGTTCTCCTTGGAGCCTCCGCGGCGTATGAGAGGCGCCACCCTGTACATATAGTTTACAATGTTTGAAAAGTGGGATAGTTTTCGTAAAATTGACCAATGTTTAGCATTCTAGGTTTAAGAACAATCTTGCCTTGCGAAAACTCCCGAAAGCAAGGCGCGTAGGGCCAAGCGAACGATTGAGCGACCGCCGAAGGGTGGAGTGAGTGGCGGGAGGAGTCTAGGGCTTAATCGGGGAAAAAGGGAAAAATTCAAAACAATCATGGCTGCCATCCATCATCATGGCTCCCGCAGAGGGGTGGGGGAAGGAACGCGGCCGCCGCCGCCGAGGCAGAGAAGAGCAGAGGATGCGATGCTCTCGGAATAAATTAGATCGAATTGGATTTTCGGGACGCGTCTGGAGCGGAATTAAAACGGGAGCCAATTTCGGAGCTGCGAGTTGGTGTGTGTGAGCGGTTGTGGCTATTTTTTTTTCGGTTTGTGCTTTATTAAATGCGGGCAGTGAAATTTGGTTTCGTGGTTTATTTTGGATGGGAGTAAATTGAAAGTATAATCGTGGTGGTTAATGATTAGGATACAGTTTGCCTCGGATCATATTTGCTAGAGAAAATACTTTTTTAGTAATATTGGAGAAAAATGTTTTTCGTAAAAATTGATTAATTTCGGGAGATGATAATGCAATTTTATCGTCATGTATAAAACAATATTTTTTTCCATAGCGAGTGACGTTTTAAAAAATATTCAGAAATTATTATTTCAAGGAATCTATTACGAGTAGAAAAAATATTCTGCTGAGTTGGCGTTGGTTTCTATGTAATTTAACAAAAAAATAAAGCTGTCTATTTATTTGCCAGTTTTGAGTCAACATTTTTTAATTCTCTTTCGTGTCGATTGCTGATTGAATTAGAGCCAGAAATGGCTCAAAACAAAATAAGTAAAATACCAACAGATATTCAGACTGAGGCGACAAATGCCATATCCAAACTACTTCCATTTAAATCCAGAATAACTTATGAAAAGGAATACAAAAATGTTCAAAAATGGAAGCAATTAAAAAACGTGCGAGAAGAAATAAAGATTTTAACCTATCCTCGCTGTTAAAGTATCATTTAATCTTCCCTTGCGGCTAAAGTAATATTTTATCTACTATTTTTGATAGATATAAGGCAATTTTAACAGTTGCTATGGAAAAAATTATATAAAAAAATTGAAGAAAGGTAGTTAGAAATTTAATTTATATTAAATATATTGATTTAAGAAAAAAATCTAGAAAGTATACGAAATCAACAAATTTCAAACAAATTTAACAATTTTCTTCGATTTTAAAATATTTTCGTTATACTTACTTAATAATTTTCTATGGTTAACTAACTGCTACTATATTAATATTCCCAGTTCCGCCATTACCTGAAAGAAAGAAATAAACTGTTAATATAAATATTTTCACATAATTAGTGTCAAAGAAATAAAAAATGCGTTTCCGATAGATTCCTTGTTAATTAATTTTTTTCACTACCTAATTAGTATAGTTTAGGAGGCCGTTAAATACATTTTTTTTAATTCTAGAATAGATAATATATAACGGAATAGGCAGGGGAGCGTAGCTATTCCTTAAAAATTTAAAAGTATCCTAATAAATTTAAGTAAATCAAGTACATCATTTTTTACTTCAAATTATGAATATTAGTTTAGCCCTAAAATGTTCCTTAAGAAGAATTTTCCTATCCTATTTTAAACCGATTGTTGTTTATGAAAAGAAGTATAGAGTATGTTATATTTTTAGAATGCTCATAACAAGGCAAATAAAATAAAATTACATTAAACATACATGGTATACCCTTTAAATCACCTTTTTGATAAGTTATAAGATTTGATATGTTTTTGATAACATTATTTCTCGTAATTATGAAAAACTAATGCGTATTATGACAGAGAGCCTAATAATTTTCCATCTTTCATCAACCTAAAAAGCCCGTTCCAACATTAATCAGCGAAAAATAATTTCCGCTTACTGCTTCCATTCTTCAAATTTCCTCTTTTTTCTCCCTGCTTTTTCCTTTTCCACTTCTGGCCTCCGCACGGCAGGAACATGACCCGAAAGTCTTAGGAACGGAACTATCTGTCATTCTGCGTGACTTACGGTCCGCACGTTATCGCAGGCCGGCACGTAGCGCGCCATCTAGCCGCTGAATCGGCAAATGACCGGTCGTGTGAACTGGCCAGGCGATAATCGGAACGGAGTCGTGTAAATGGGCCCTAATGCGGCTAAGTCGGTTCAGTGGCGTATGTAGCCCGACAATAGAGGAATTTAGGAAATAAAGAAAACTGTAAAACACACGAAAATAGCACACCCTGTACAGTTGAAAGTTTTGAATAAAACTAGTGTGAGAAAATAGTACTTTAACCGCAAGTGTAGATTAAATGATACTTTAACAGCGAGGATCGGTTAAAAACTTTATTTCTTCTCGCACGTTTTTTAATTGCTTCCATTTTTGAAAATTTTTGTATTCCTTTTCATAAGTTATTCGGGATCTAAATAGAAGTAGTTTGGATATGGCGTTTGTCGCCTCAGCCTGAATATCTGTAGGTAATTTACTTATTTCGTTTTGAGCCATTTCTGGCTCCAATTCAGTCAGCAATAGACACGAAAGAGAATTAAAAAATATTGACTCAAAACTGACAACTAAAGAGACAGCTTTATTTATTTGTTAAATTACATAGAAACCAACGCTAATCCAGCACAATATTTTTTCTACGGCAATAAATTCCTTGAAATAATAATTTCCGAATATTTTTTAAAACGTAACTCGCTGTGGAAAAAAATATTGTTTTATACAAGACGATAAAATTGTATTTTATCGGTAAATAACTATTATTGTATTATAAAAAGAGAAATGATAAAATAAGAACATATCAAATATAAAATCAAATTCTACACAGGTATACATTTTAATGTTATGTTGAATATTATATAGTTATTAAAATTCATTAAACGAAACTACAGACTAAAAAAACCTTTAACATAACACAATTTATTAGTTTGAATAATTCTCTTTGATCATTTATTCTACTGTAATACAAGGCACAGCGTTTCATGAGAAGCAGTGTTCGTTCGCATGTCTAGCAAGTGTTTCATTAATTCGATATGTTTTTGTCTAATGGGTTCTTAGGCGCTATTTTGTTAATAATTACCGTTTTATAATTAATTGCTAGCCTATTTACATAATTGGGGAATGTTATGCGGTTATTTCATTAAGGTTTCAAGAAAATATTTTGAATAATTAAATATCCACAGTATTAGTGTATACTCCACTAGATTTAAAATGTCGAGTGTATGGGAGGGGGTTATCATCGTGAACTTGTAGATATTTGGGTACACTGAAAAAATATAAGTAAGTAAGTAAGTAAGTAAGTATAAGTGTACAAAAAAAAATTGGCGCCGGGAGGCACGTATAGCCGCCCATACTAAAATATGTTAATATCTCAAAAACTTCGACTTTGACTGATTTTGAAGTTATTACAAATTTTGTTGCAAATATTATTCCTAATCTTAATTTGAAAACCGTGTTTCGCTATCTACTGTAATTTTGGAGTTACGGTTTTTAAAATTTTTTAACCCTCTCCCATACCCCCTTACCAACCCCCCACCCCACCAAAAACTACTGGCCAGATTCTCGGGTGCCACAGTATTTTTGTGCCAAATTTGATTAAAATCGGTTCAGCGGTTTTTGAGTTATCGTGTTACAGACGGACAGACAGACAGACAGACAGAGAGACAGACACCATAAAAATATTTTGTATTTAGGTCATTTATGACCCAAATGTATCTTAATAATAGCCTACCATACCTATTGGTATGGACGGCTAAAAATATTGATATATTATAGTACTTTTAATAAGAAACTTGTAAAAATAAGATATTTTTGCATAGTTTCTCAAAAAAATGTATTTTTCAAAACAGTTTATCAATATTAAATTATTATTACTAAGGAATATTATTTTCACAATAAGTTTAGGGAGTGTAAAAATTAAATTTAAATCAGTAATATAATCTTGTAGTAAAATTGCCTGTCTCTAGACTCTAGACATATTCACAAAACTTGTATGAATTTACCATAATTAATTTAGTAAAAATAAAGTTTCCTATTTTGGCTAGGCGCAGAATTCTAGTAAGGTTCTTCTAGACAAGAAGAGAATGCATGAGTATCTTACATACATAAGTTATGTTTTGGAACTTTTTATTAACCTTTATCAATATATATAAATCTCTAAGTCCTGACTGATCACTGACTCATCAACGCCCAGACCAAACCCTTGACCCTAGAAAGCTGAAATTTTGCACAGGGATTCCTTTTATGATGTTTACGTGAGATAAGAAAGGATTTTTTAAAATTCATCCCCTAAGGGGTTAAAAAGAGGGGTAGAATATTACAATATTTTTTATTTAAAAAACGGTTAAGTTTCCGAAAAAACGCTTAAACACGTATATTTTATTTTCTTTTTTTACATATTTTAAGATTTTTTAAAAATGTATACAGGGTGTTTCGAAAAATCTGATCATTGATTAATCACGATCCTGCTTAAAGCGCTTGACGTAAAAAACTGATTTTTGGAAAACGGATTGACTTTAGGGTGTAGAGGTTCGATAAGAAGGGATTTTTCGAAACTCGAATTCTAAGGGGGTGAAACAACTCCTTAAATATTAGAATATTTTTTATTTAAAAACCGGTGAGTTTTTCGGAAAAACTCTTAAACACGTATATTTTATTTTGTGGTTTTACATATTTTAAGATTTTTTAAAAATTTATACAGGGTGTTTCATAAAATATGGCCATTGAATAATCACGATTCTGCTTAACAGACGTTTTGACTTGACGTTTAAAGCTGATTTTTGGCAAACGGATTGACTGTGTGGTGTAGAAGTTCGATAAGGAGGGGTTTCTCGAATCTCAAATTCCAAGAGGGTGAAAACGCCCCTCAAATAATCTATACTAATATATAAAATTCTTAAGTGACTCACTGATTAACCACGATCCTGCTCAAACCACTCAACGTAAGAAGCTCAATTTTGGCATACAGGTTGATTCTAGGGTGTAGTGGTTCGATAAGAAGGGATTTTTCGAAATCCCAGTTCCAAGAGGGTGAAACCACCTCTCAAGTATTACCATATTTTTTATTTAAAAAACGATCAAGTTTCCGAAAAAACGCTTGAACAAGTATATTTTATTTAGTTTTATACATATTTTAAGACTTTTTAAAAATGTATACAGTGTTTCGAAAAATCTGGTCATTGATTAATCACGATCCTGCTTAAAGCGCTTGACGTAAAAAGCTAATTTTTGGTAAACGGATTGACTTTAGGGTGTAGAGGTTCGATAAGAAGGTATTTTTCGAAACTCGAATTCTAAGGAGGTGAAACCACCCCTCAAATATTGGAATATTTTTTATTTAAAATCCGGTGAGTTTTTCGGAAAAATTCTTAAACACGTATATTTTATTTTGTTGTTTTACATATTTTAAGATTTTTTAAAAATTTATACAGGGTGTTTCATAAAATATGACCATTGAGTAATCACGATTCTGCTTAAGCTGCTTGACGTTTAATGCTGATTTTGGCAAACGGATTGACTGTGGAGTGTAGAGGTTCGATAAGGAAGGGTTTCTTGAATCTCAAATTCCAAGAGGGTGAAAACGCCCCTCAGATATTGCAATATTTGTTATTTAACAAACGGTTAGTCTTTCGGGAAAACGCTTGGACACGTATAATTTATTTTGTTTTTTACATATTTTGAAATTTTTAAAAAAATCATACAGGGTGTTCCAAAAAGTTGGGCAATTGATTAACCACGATTCTGCTCCAGTTTGTATGTTAATGGAAATTCTTGCTTTGCTTTATCATATCACCATTATAAATGATTAATTCGACGCGAACGAAGTCGCGGGTACATGCTAGTAATAAATATTATAAAAATAAACACGTGTTTTATTAAATTTATTAATATTTACTTACGGCTGTGTGAATTTACAAAAATAATTGTAAATTCACTATAATAAAATGTTTTAATTTGTTGTTACTTAACTAATAATAATAATAACTAATAATAAAGATGATAATGAGATAATAATGAACAGAACCAATTCAAATTAATAGAGGAATTTTTCAGGGTGACTCCCTCAGTGCACTCTGGTTCTGTATTGCGCTCAACCCCCTATCGAACCTACTCAACAAAACGCCCCAAGATGCTTATAAAATACCCTCACTCACACATCCATCTACCATCTCGCACCAGCTATATATGGATGACCTAAAGCTTTATGCAGCAACCAGAAAACAACTCAACAACCTTCTCAATATTACAGAAACATACAGTGAAGACATCCAAATGAAACTAGGAACAGATAAATGT